TTTCTGACCAAGTAAGATACACTAGTTGAAAACAAATCCAATCCACACATAGTCATAAAGACATGCAAAGGATAATGAAAAATTACTTCTCAGTTGCACAGAGTAAGAATGTATTCAGAGTTGATAACCAACAATTCTAGATAGTCTAGGTATCTCAGTGGTTCAAAAAACAGAGTTACAAAAAGAGAGTTCTGTTGAGACCTATGGTCATAAATAATTTCACAGAACAGACATACAAAATGAAAAGTAAAAGACTGGTAAATGAGATCCCTGATATATACAGTAATCCAAATCAACAGCAAGTTAGGCAGTTCTGTAAAGGAAACAGATTTTCAGCTATTCTCTAGAATTCTAAAACTGAAAGGATTGGTTTTTAGCACCCAAACTGCACCCTGCCATTGCAATTGTTTTTCTTTGAATAAAATTGGCGTCAGAAATAAGAAAACTCATCCAGTCATCACTCTTTTCCCTCCAAATCTCTGTCAGTATATACTACAGATAGAAAAGTTGAAGGAACACCCATTTTTAACACAAGCCTTGCTCCACTAGTTTACCTGCTCAGCTTCTCCAAGACAGCCAATAGTCTTTCTGTACACTGTTAATTCTCATGTATGTATCACCCATGAAAATGACAAAAATGCAGCAATATATTGCAATAGACGCATCAAAATTAAACACAGGCCCCAAAGCAATAGGTTAAAAAAGCAAAACAGTTTTAGGGAACAGAAAGTAATCCTGTATTTACCATTCATTACTATTATGCTAAAGTGATTGCTCTTTTGATTTTTGTTCCATACTCTCTACTGTACTTGAGTTCTAGGTACCTACAGAAATTATGCGAATTCTCACAATACCAAAACTATTCTGCCAGTTCTGTTTGAACTACACAGCAGTTCTTTCTTAACCTTTAAGACCATCAGAATTATTCAGCCATGGCCAAAAGACCAAATGGAAAAAAAATAATAAATGTCCAAAATTATATTTTTTTCATCTTGATAATCATCACATCCTGCAACTCAGCACACTGCTACAGAGGCACATATGTTGGCAGCTTTTGGCTGCTAGTGTTTAAAGGAAAGTGATCCAGTCCCTGTATACATTCTGATCAGGTCTATACAGAGATTTTAAAAGCATATTTTTAAACCTAAAGCATCTATTCACAGCCAAAAACCTAACGAAGAACTGAAATCTATTTTGGGATGTTTAACCCTCAGCAGTCAAAAAATGAGGACAGCTCTTCAAACATGGCAAGATTCTTCTAGCGAAGTTATGTTATCCTATCACTTCCACTTCTCTTGCTCTTTATGCTTCAACAGCATTTTCACTAAATTGATTCAAGACATATTCCCCAAAGGCTTCACAATGGACTTGCACTTTACATCAGCTAGACACCAAAAGCAATACAGAAAAGTTTGCTTTGCTATATTCAAGGTTAATTACAGAAAAAAATAGAAAGTGGTAAAAAGGAAACAAATAGACTTTAAAAAAAAGTTATCATACTGCTTTACACACAAATATAGTAAGCCCTAGCAAAGAAGCTCTGTCAGGTTAGTGACATCAGCAGTCAAAGCCACCTAGCAGTCTTTACTTAAGACTATTTTCAGCCACTTTTTAACTATTCAGTCTGAAATCTTCCATGTCAACTGTCTGCTTCAGGTAGACTTTTTCTCACCCTCCCCTCACCACCACCTTTTAAAAAAAAGGTCAGGGAATGGCTGGAACATTTTTGTACCACAAAAGGACCTGAAAACAAAGGCCTTGAAACACTGTAACCACTCTCCTGCCCTGAATCAGTAACTTGAAATCAGGCTGGACAATGGTTTTGTAGCAGAAAGGTACATTTTGCTCATTTTGTGAAAAATCTGACCCAATTTAGCCAAGCTACACACTTCTAGAAACCCAAGTTTGTATGTATTTTTTGGCAAGATCTGCTGGAGCTTAACAACCAATCACTAAACAGTCTATCCTCAGTGATCTTTATGTCATCTCCACGGGCAAGGCAATTGAAGTCAGTCTCCTCTAACATCTGGTTATGAGTGAAGAGCCAGATTTTTACTGTAAGCGAAGTCTACATTTAAGAAGCATTAGGTACAACACACAACAAAGTGTCACATGCGTATTTCTTCAACCTCAACTATGCCAATACCCATACAACAGTTAAAAACAGTGGCTTCTCATTTCACGTTGGGTAACTGAGTAGGATTTAACGTACACCGACAGAGTGTGTGGAGTGAAGATGGAGGAAACAGCTTGTAGTAGAGATTAGAAATTGAAGCTTGAAAGAATAAACTGGGATGGACTAGACAAGGCAAAAAAACTAAGAGGAATGTAAGAAGATGTGATAGTCAATGAGAGAAAAATTAGGCCAAATAAGCAATCCCAGGCAGAACAACTCAGAAATGGGGATTAGGAGACCACCAGGACCAGATACTGCGAGGGAAAAATATAGCTCCATTTTAGTGAATATATGTGGAAGAGAAATGACTCAAAAGAAAAGTCTGAGAAAAGACCCACCACCAGCAATCAAAAACAGACAAGAAGAAAAATCAACAGAAGCAAGGGTGAGTGAGAAGAAGTAGCAGGCAAGCAAAGGCTGACAACAGAGAGATGAGGTGCAGTCTAAGGGAGTCTGGAACTAGTCAGGCCTAAATATTTGATTGAAAAGACAGAATCAGTGCTGCACTAGAGACTAGCTTGAGGCAGTGAGAAGCCTAGGGAAAAAAAAAAAAAAAACACAACCAACAAAAAAAGTGTGTCTTCAGAAGTTATAAAAAAAGATAAAATACCCTAAGACTTATCATCCTCTGCAAATGTCTGCAAACCTCTTCCTCTCCTTCTCAAAAAAAAAAAATATCCCACTTTACTACAGATAAAGCCCTAACTCTGTCACTTTCTTAATTCAAACAGTAATGTTTATGCACTAGATTTAAAAGCTCCAATCCTGCTAATTATCAACATGGCACACATATGACAGTATATTAGTGTTCTCATTTTGCCTTTTTTTTGTTAATATTAACTATAAAATAACACGCAGAAGCACATTTACAAAATATTAAACAAAACCAAGCTTGGCATTTTAGTTTCTTAGGCATCAGGAATTTATTACTATATTATTTCAAACTATTTTTTTCTACGCTATCTCATTCAATTAACAGAATATTTTCTGGGAATAAATCCAAGTTGCATTTTGAAGGACAGCACTCTCTTTAAGACCCTGCTTTCAGTATTATGGAACTTAAAAGTTACATGGGATAACCTTATTTTTATCTGAGCTTTTGCCAAAGGAGTCTTAACTGGCTGCATTAATTACATTGTTGCGTATTAACAGTAAATTGCAAGAACTTTCTAAGCTTTTGAATTCATTAAAAATGGCACTGTAACTCCATTCCCCCTCCAGTACTCGCCTAACTGCTTGTTGCAATTGAATTGGATCCAGTGTGCAACTTCAGCAATATGCTAACAGAAATCAAAATTATCAAATAAAGCATAGATGGCAACCTCTTTCTCAGACCACTAAAGATGACTGAATTCTGTTTTTGCACATAAGCCAAAGAAATAATGCATACACCCCCAACACACGCTGCTTTATGTGACTCCAAAAAGAAATTGGCATTATTGTTTAGAAGGTACTTTTTTCTTCCTCTTAAAGAAAGAACTTTATTTAGTTGCTGTTTCTTCTCAATTTATTTTGATGTCAAGAAGAGTCACAATATATCCTAAAATAAAGCACTCTTTAAATGAAAGATTCAGAATTAATAACTAGTAAGAATACTAACTAACATTATTTTAATTGTAGGCACCCAGAGAATCTACAGAGTAAAATAACTGGGTTGGTAATAACTGTATTGGAGTATAACTTAGCAAAAATACAAACTAGTAGAAATACGCAGTATTTCCTTATATACTCATTTCAAAAGTACTAATCATCAGAACATTTTAAAGAGATTTTGAAGGCTAAGTATAAAATTAGAGATACTAAAGTTTGTTCTAACAAGCTACACCATAGCAACGTGCAGCTCAGGGTAGATCTTCTGATTTAAAAAATTTTCAGCTGTGATTATCTACTTTGCTTCCAGGCTATGTTACCTGTCCAGCTCTGAGAACCATACCAGACATCTCAACTCTTAACAATCCAGAAAAGTCAATATATACCTCATGATTCTATGATTAAAACTTTCAATTTAGGCTAAATTCTGCAATGTTCATGTAAAACTTTAGAAATGGATTCTGGCACAGAAAAAGAAAGGTCTGGGCCTTGTTTCTTTACCATAGATAATTTCTAGCTACAGCTCACCAAGCTGTGGCTGAAAAATCCGATTACTCAGATTTCAGAGTTTCCAAGTTGCTCAAAAAAACCTCCTACAATACATTGTTTGCAGCTTTTTACTACATGGTATTCCAACTCAATGCCATATCAAGAGCTTCTAAAATAATTGTAGGTAGCTGGTTTTTTGTGCAACTACCCATACTATTCACATATAGATAAAAAATAACTACAGCCTATGCCTCAACCAACTCCTTTTATGATCTCCTTTAAAGAGGGGGAAAAAAACTTATCTGTATTTTCAAGGACAGTAACTTTTGCTACTCATGCACACATTTGTGCAATGATGATTACAAATGTGTCAAACAACAGCAAGCACCTCGACTGCTTTGCTGTTCAGCCATACTAGCAACCTTTTCCAGAAAGCAACAACATGACCAAGATCAGTAAGAAATTCATTGTCAATAAGCCCAAAGTAACTGGATGCTGCACACACTCAGACCCATACGTTAGCTTCACTAGGAAGCTATAAATGCAGCAGCCCTCTCTTATTCCCCATCTGCCACAGCATCGTGCAGTCTGTATGCTATAAAGCTGCTCACATGGAGACTTAGAGCACTCACAGATATATCAATAGCAGACTTACTGAGGCAGATAGGACTGGTATTCTAGGGTCCTGTTTTATCATCAGACAACAGCCAGAACAGTAGTAACCTATAGAGTACAAAATATCTACCTGCTGAGCTAAGCAGAACACTGAAGTCTGTTCCTCTCTGGGTTTCCCCATGTTCATTCTGTCCCTCTTTTTCTATATCCTCATAGCGGCTCCAGTTGGAAACGATTTTTCTTCTTGAATAGCTTTTCAGTTCTTCCTTCTCTTCTTCCTCTTGTGATTCAGTACCATCATCCTCCTCTACCTGTAACATGTAAACGGCAGTTAAGCCACTGCAACTCCAAAGCATTTTGTTCTGTATTTAAATAGTCATTCATACAAACAACCACCACAGAATTAAAACCCAGAAAGACAAACTGGCCTGCATCCCCACCAAAATTTTAGATCAGGTGCTACCATCTTCCTGATGTAGCTCCTCAACAGTGTAATTAAAAACACCTAATGAAGCTTCAGTTCTCACAGGGGTCTAACAGTGACACTGTTGCTAGTTCACTCGTTTCTCTGCTATTCCGGAAGCCCTTAATGAGCAGCTTGTCTCCTGAACCTGAGAGCAATGTGCAGGGAGTAGATCTAAGAATTTAATTACAGTATCTCTGTCCAAGTGTTGCAGTGATACAGGTGACAACTGAAATAACTGATGTTTGTAGAGCAGAATAAGAAGATAACATAATTCTGCAGAAAAACATCTGGAAAAGGGTGATCTATGTCAGAATTTCCACTACAACTAACTACAGGGTCCTAAGTAATATTGAATCATTAGTCAAATTAATTTCCATCACGAAAGCAGTTTTATGGAAATACATATGGAAAAATTAAATAGACTGCTGGCAGTCTACTAGCCCAAGCCCTTAATAAGCTCTAGGGTCAACAAGAGAACTCATCACAAAGATGCAAGCAAAACAGACATTTGCCACAAGTACGTAACAGCCATGGAAAACTCTCCCATCCCTTGAATCCTCTATATCAACAGAGCTCTCCCAAAGCCTGGAGTTCAGCTGGAATGACTACCAGTTCACAAACAGAAAGACTTCTTGGAGGAAGGAGCACTCCCCAGGCAAGAGGAGAACTGAGAGCACCTAGGAAAGTTCTGTACAAGATACATTCTGCAGAAATCTAAAGCTCTGAAGAAGTGGAGTAAAGGAGTCAAGAAAGAGGAGATTCCCACTGTGCCTGCTTCCAGACATCCCTGTTGACAGCTTCAGACTCTCTTCTCTCCTTTACTCCACCTTTCTTCACAAACCACAGTGTGCTGCTGCTATACGCTTAAATTTCGATCTCCCAATAATAAGTATGTTCTTCATGACTAGGGCAATAAAATTCAAGTTTATCTGCATTGCTGTAAAGCTTACAGCCATCTGCATTCAGTACAAAATAATTTAAAAAGCAAACTACTTTAGAGTAAGCCATTCTACACCCACAAGCCAAAACACCTTTACAGCTCACCATCAGACATTGACTTTCAGGAAACTAAATGTAATCCTGAAATAAATGTGAAGAGCAATTATTTGTATTTTTTAAAAGTCCTTAAAGTAAAAAGCTATGTCTTGTGCAAAAAGATTACTAAAACCTCTAGCAGTTACCACATTTCTAAAACTACATTAGGGTTATTTTAAGCACATATTGCGGACTTACATACTGGTACAACATTGGATCACCTGGTAAAAACAATTGCACAAAGCTATCAGGAGCAAATCACCATCACTTCATTAACTTGTTTTATTATCAGTGAGTTACTTTAATAGATAAAGAAAGGACAAAGAACAATGAAACACATGCTTTAGACTGATTTTAGAAATCCATCATGAAGAAGGCTTAACTACTCCATACGAAACTCAGTTACACTGTGGCTCAGCTACACAAGGACAAGCTGAGATTTTCATGTTCCTTTAGTGTCTGATTATACAACAGAAAAACTTCTGTCAGTGCCAAATAAGCCCCTATTGCACACCAAATACTACATTTATATTTATCATAAAAAGACAGCAAGATACAGACAAAAAAGCTGTAAGTAGCATTTTTTGGACAACAGACCATTGTTAGTTCTTAGTTCTGAAAATACATTTAAAATTGCCAAAAATAGCAAGGAAGCCTATTTCACAGCTTTTAAACAAACGTCCACTGAAAAGCATCTTCAAACACAGTTCTGAGATTTTAGATTCTCTCTTGTTTGATGTCTTAAAAACTAAAACTGACTTCCCAGCATATCATATGGTAGCAAAATCAGAATTCAAATAATGACTTCACATGAAAAACAATCCACCACAAGCTTCTTTCACCACCATTTGAGATATCTGGTTAAAATCATCAAAACCCTTAAACACAGATTAAAAGCTGTCATGATTATAAAAATATACTCCCAATTGTCAAACAGCTGACAAGAAGTAAAATATTCTGAGCATTCTCACTGGTTCTGTGCAATTTTTAAGTAAATTCTCTTTTATTTCTATTCATCAGATAAATGCACTAAAGTGGTTGTTGTGGACATACGGTTGTTGCATGAGCAAGGGGATGAAGTCATAATGCTCTGGGGATTGATCCAGAGCTTCCAGTTTCCACAGAGCCAAATCTGCTTACAGCAAGAAAAGAAACAACTTATTTCTCTTCTGTTCTTCTCCTATAAATTGAAAGATTTTCTATAATCCAGCAAACCTAGTGAAATTCCAAAGGAGCTGATACAATTCACAAGTCAAAGCAAGAATAGTGCCACACAGATATATCTGTGTTGTACTTTGGGGTTTGGAACTTTTTTAAGACCAGAATTACCTTAGGCAACTACGACATTATATGTAATTACTTACTACAGACCTGTTTAAAGGATTCACTCCTTTCAGCTGTCAACATAAACAAAATAGGACTATCACCTTCTTATTTTAACAAGCTTCCAGTAAACAAATACAGATTCAAACATTTTCTCTTACACTGCACTAAATTCTTTTTCAGATTCTGTTATTAGCAATGCACAGCACACTTCAAGGAAATTTCATTTCTTAGAAGTAAAACTGCTAACTTGAACTTCAGGAAATAAACCCCAAAGTCTCAGGAGGATTAACAGTAGTTGTGCAGCCTGGCTCCCCAAATACTGCGCTGAGGTTTACTTTTGACCTGCGTACATTTCCAGTAAATATTTAATGGAAAATTTTACATGATGCACTGCCATGCTACAAGATAAAACGAAAATAAACACATTTGAATATTCAACATACAAACAACTTAAAGATGTGTCTTCACCATTAATATAATCAAATACATTAGAACACTGATGGATGATGCTTCAGAAAATAAGCTTCTACCATTTCACAAGACAGCTACCATCTAAAGTGGCAATCTCAGAAACACATAAATATAAATATTTATTACTTTCCTCTTAGCTGCCTATTCAGCTAGTCTATATGCTGATACCACTGTATTCATACTTTACTGAAAATGACGCTTAATCAGTACAGAGCAAACATCTGCCCTATGTGTAATGAAATAAAATAGTTTTCCCTCCCACCCCATCCTCAAATAACATGTGATACAAGCTGAAACAAATTCTAGAAGCCAATTCAAATATAACCTTTAAACAATATTACTCAGGTAAGGAGAAAAACACTTTCTGCCACAGGAGGTATAACATTTATCTGCTGTGCCTCTATTTCAGATGGTATTACATGCATTACCATTTGCACATTCCATTGAAATTTTGAGAATGGAAAAAGTATGCAAAAGCCCAGTTGAACAAAACCAGGAAACCTTCAGATTGTTTTGCATATCAGAAACAAATATATACACAGTGTTCTGCATAAACACTAAGTTCACTGAAGCCCTTCAAAGAACAGTTAAAGAGCCAAGCTCTCCTGCAGAGAAACTTTTACGATGTGGGACCTTCCACCAAGAAATGGATTTTCATCCTTTACCAGAGCCTATGACTCCACTTTCCTTCTGAAGACAAGCAAAATGCATAGCGCACATGACCACAATCTACAAGCTCTACTACAGCAAAAGGATACTTCAGTACACTTTCCTTTATGCACTAGTTTTGTATACAGGGTTGAAAAAAAATGGCAATCAGGCTTTCTGTTTGACTTTTCTCACAGACAAGAACATGTTGATGCACATGGTTCAGGAATGAAGGTGTCAAAATGAAGTAAACATTGTTCTGAGAAGATAATTTCCCCTGGCGTCATTCTTCTGCACTTCACTGGAACCCAGAGTGGTTTCAGATCAAACCAATGCTGAAGTACACAATGGAGAAAGTGCAACAGTGACCTCTTCCACCCTGCTTCAATTACTCAATCACTCTTCACTGTAAGGGCAGTCAGTCCTAGCATGTTAAGCATGTGTTCAAACACTCAACAAGGCCTGTTGAGCTCACAGTCCTCTAAAAAAAAAAACAAACCAAGAAGTGCATTAAAAGTCAGAGTTTCCATTAAGACTTTCTAAACCTGTATGTATTACCCTTAAGAACCCACAGGAGTTAAGACTTATAGCCATCTTCCTGTTCAGTTCTATTAACTCTGTAATAAAAGTTTAAAACATTCAGTCTTTGTCAGTACTTGGAATACCCTACTGTGAGTGGGAGGAACACGGAAAACAACTATTTTCAGCTTGCCTTTCTTTGGGCCAAGCGCCCTTCCCCACTATGTATATCATGCATTATTAGATTTCCATTTTATTTATTTTGTAGTATTTCTCCCAGTTCTCTTTCCAAAAATGTAACTTTATGAAATACATGAAAACACAGTTTGAGCTTTTTTGTAATCTGTTACAAAGAGCACAGCTATTTCTCCTATTCACCTTCTTCACAAAGATACACAATAACCTTCTCATTTTCTCTTTAGAAACCCTTTACAATTATATTGATTGAGTGCTATTTTTCCCCTTTGTTACTGTAACTCCTGTATTACTGTTTTGAATGTTACACCTCTCAAAAACATACATATTTTCTTAATCTTCTCTCCATTCTTTATTAGGGACACTTACCTGCAATACACCAGACATATTCCACTGCTATGCATATACGCCTCCATGTTCATAGGCAGTGATAACCATTGTCTAATCCCTAAATTTGCTGCTCTCCCAAACAGCAACAGCACACACCAATTCCTTGAGTAAATTTCTACCTTGATTCCATCCTCCCTTAGAAACTGCTGTAAAGCTGTGGCCAAGTGCAATGACATTCAGTCTCACCTGTCTCAATCCCAATTTCTCTTCTCATCAGGGGAAAAGACTAGCAAGACAAAACAAAAATATTCTATGGGTTGA